CAAGCCTCTGTCTTCAGTGCGCCATAACTAGGCGTTTGCTCTGGTCGCCGACGAAATCCCGTGCCTGGGGTGCAGGTTTTCCAGGGAGGGAGACACAGGGTTGAAGTCAGGACCGATGTTTCAGCTTCTGATCTGTGAGGTGCAGAGCTCGGCAGCGCTTCCCGCGCAGAGATGTCTGGAGAGAACTGGGCACCTGAATTTCTTCCAGCTTCCCCGCAGGAAGGAACCTCAGTTTGCTTTGAGAGCTGAATAATTGTACTCTGCCCTTGCTGAGGTCGACATCTAAAGGTAAGTTTTAATGCAGTGTGTTTGGAACAAGAAGTAAGATGGGGTGATCCACAATGAGGTGGAATTTCAGTGGTTTCTCGTGAAGGTGTTTTAAGTGTGCTTCATACACGGACTTACAATTATGCCAGCTTTGTAGGTGATTGTACGTGAGAAACAATTTAGAGTTTGTTCTCGATTTCTTTATGAAAATAAAATAACGGAGTGAAATTGACTTTCCACGTGTTTCCCTGTGGGTAGCAGTTTTCTCCTTAGAGTGCTATTAAGCAAAGCAAAAGCCCCCTTTTTGGTGAAAATGCTTTGGAAGGAGATTGTGATGAGGGTCATATGGACCCATGGAATTGGCCTGTGGATTATTTCAATTGTCTCCTTTCCCAGAAAGGCTGCCCACTGAGTTTTTCTTCCAAAGACAGGTGGATTCAGTTAGGAAGTAACAAATACAATCACAATACCAAGACGATTCTAATTGTTTAGGGCAGAGTTTCTAACTTCACCACTACAGACATCTTGGGCTGGATACTCTTTGTCATGGGGGCCATCCTGTGCAGTGTAGTGAGTTTTGTGGCACCTGTGGTCTCTACCCACCACATGCCAGTAGCACACAGCCCCTCTCTCCACCCCCAGTGGTGACAACCAAAAATGTCTCCACTTTGCCAAATGTCCTCTAGGGTCAGAACCTCCCCAGGTTGAGAACCAGTGGTTTAAGAGGACTGTCTCTTCATGCAAAGATGTTTCTCTAAAAAAATGTTATGAGAAATGTTATCGGCTCAATACGTCTATAAGTTTTTCTCAGAGATTAGAATACAGAACAGATGCCCTCCATTTCTGGAACAGACGTGGTGTTTCTGATATGCTCTTCCTTTCAGATTCGTCACTTTTGTTCACAGTCTTTGGAGGTGCTGTCAGTGTGAGGGCCAGAGTCACAGTGGGCGCTTAAGTGAACCCATGGCCCGCTGGGTCTTAGCGAGCCTCAGGGTGATGAGGGCGCTACAAACACTTGAGGCTTGTCCTGCAAGGGTTTCCAAAGTGAGTGCTATCTCTCAAATTGTTTAGACGTTTCCCCTTAGAATCCTTCCTTCACTTGGCCTTCAAGTGCCACTTTTCCTTATTCCTAGAGGGGCACGGAGAAGCACGTTTTCTGTAACCCAGTCTTGATCATTTGCTGGGAACAAATAAGTTAGGTGGAAACAGAAGGATAATGGATCTTCGTTAGTTGTAGCCTGATCACTAGACTAGGTTGCTTCACTTAGGCCAATGTGTGTAACACATCTGCTCCACACCCTGATGTGCTTGACCTGCCCACACAACTCAAACCCCTTAAACAAACAAACAAAAAGGTACGCGTGGGGGATGGTCAGAGGCCTGCAGGACATGTGTGTGCGTCGTAGGAGGAGACAGTGCTGACATGGTTCTTTGTTAAGTGGCTCCCAGCTGTCTTCTGAAGCAGAAGACACACAGCATGCCTCCTTCACACCGTGCATAGTCTGTGCATGCTCCCGTATGCTACACAAGCAAGGGGCGGATTGACAATGGATACTTTGAGTTTAAAAACTGTGTTATTTTAGCAGCTTTGAGATTTTTTCCTTTTCCCAAGTATATTTTCTTTTTTAAATTGAGGTATAGTTGATTTACAATGTTGTGTTAGTTTCAGGTGTGCAGCAAAGTGATTCATATGTGTATATACATATATTCTTTTTCCATTTTTTTTCCACTATAGATTATTACAAGATATTGAGTATAGTTCTCTGTGCTATACAGTAAGTCCTTGTTTTATCTATTTTATTATTATTTTTGGCTGTGTTGGGTCTTCGTTGCTGCACGCGGGCTTTCTCTAGTTGCGGTGAGCGGGGGCTACTCTTCGTTGTAGTGCGCAGGCTTCTCATTGCCGTGGGCTCTCTTGTTGCGGAGCACGGGCTCTAGGCATGCGGGCTTCAGTAGTTGTGGCTCGCGGGCTCTAAAGCGCAGGCTCAGTAGTTGTGGCGCACGGGCTTAGTTGCTCTTGCCGGACCAGGGCTTGAATCTGTGTCCCCTGTGTTGGCAGGCGGATTCTTAACCACTGAGCCACCAGGGATGCCCTGTTTTATATATAGTAGTGTGTATCTGTTAACCCCAAACTCCTAACTTGCCCCGCCCCCCACTTTACCCTTTGTTAACCGTAAGGTTGTTTTCTATGTGAATCTATTTCTGTTTTGTAAATAAGTTCATTTGTATCACTTTTTTAGATTCCACATATAAGTGATATCATATAATTTGTCTGTCTCTGACTTCACTTGATAATCTCTAGGTCCATCCATGTTGCTGCAAACGGCATTATTTCATTCTTTCTTATTGCTGAGTAATATTCCATTGTATATATGTACCACATCTTCTTTGTATATTCATCTGTTGATGGACACTTACTTCCATATCTTGGCTATTATAAATAGTGCTGCTATGAACATTGGGGTGCGTGTATCTTTTCGGATTAGTTTTTGTCTTTTTGGATATATGACCAGGAGTGGGATTGCACGATTATATGGCAACCCTGTTTTTATTTAAGGACCCTCCATACTGTTCTCCATAGTGGCTGCACCAATTTACATTCCCACCAACTGTGTAGGAGGGTTCCCTTTTCTCCACACCCTCTCCAGCATTTATTATTTGTAGATTTTTTGATGATGGCCATTCTGACTGGTGTGAGGTGATACCTCATTGTAGTTTTGATTTGCATTTCTCTAATCATTAGCGATGTTGAGCATCTTTTCATGCATCTGTTGGCCATCTGTATATCTTCTTTGGAGAAATGTCTATTTAGGTCTTCTGCCCATTTTTTGATTGGGTTGTTTTTTTGATATTGAGCTGTATGAGCTGTTTGTATATTTTGGAAATTAAGCTTTTGTTGACCACATTGTAAATATTTTCTCCCATTTCATAGGTTTTCATTTTTGTTTATGGTTTCCTTTGCTGTGCAAAAGCTTGTAAGTTTGATTAGGTCCCATTTATTTTTGCTTTTATTTCTTTTGCCTTGGAAGACTGACCTAAGAAAACATCGTTACAATTAATGTCAGAGAATGTTTTGCCTATGTTCTCTTCTAGGAATTTTATGGTGTCATGTCTTATATTTAAGTCTTTAAGCCATTTTTGAGTTTATTTTTGAGTATGGTGTGAGGGAGTGTTCTCACTTCATTGATTTACATGCAGCTGTCCAACTTTCCCAACACCACTTGCTGAAGAGTCTTTCTTTCCTACGTTATGTGTTTTTGCCTCCTTTGTTGAAGATTAACTGGCCGTAGGTGTGTGGGTTTAATTCTGGGCTCTCTATTCTGTTCCATTGATCCATATGTCTGTGCCAATACGATGCTCTTTTGATTACTGTAGCTTTGTAGTATTGTCTGGAGTCTGGGAGGGTTATGCCTCCAGCTTTGTTCTTTTTCCTTAGTATTGCTTTGGCAATTCTGGGTCTTTTGTGGTTCCATATAAATTTTAGGATTATTCTCGTTCTGTAAAATAATGTCATGGTAATTTGATAGAGATTGCATTAAATCTGTAGATTGCTTTGGGTAGTAAGGCCATTTTAATAATATTCTTCCAGTCTAAGAGCATGGGATGTATTTCCATTTCTTTGAATAATCTTCAATTTCCTTTATCAGTGTTTTATAGTTCTCAGCATATGTCTTTCACCTCCTTGGTCAGGTTCATTCCTAGGTATTTGTGGGTTTTTTTTTTTGGACAGAGTTTTAAAAGGGGTTTTTAAAAACTTTCTGGTATTTCATTGTTCTCTAAGTATTACCATTAGCCTAAGTCACAACCACTACTATTTCTATGGGGAAAACATAGACAAAAACCTCCTTCTCTCATATTTGGCCTACTAGGAGATGAAAAAATTGACACCTAGCACAAGAAAATCTGCATGGCAATTTTTAATTAAATATGTTCTATTTAATAATGGAGAAAGTCTATGAATCAAATCATTAAGGTTTTTTTCTGTTGATGTAAAAAAAGAATATGAGAATTCATGTTCTCCTTTATTTGGGGAGAAATATCTAAGTGGGAAACTGCATGTAGAATTTTAATTAATATGTGCTGACAGGGAGATCAGCTTGGTGCTTTGTGACCACCTAGAGGGGTGGGATAGGGAGGGTGGGAGGGAGACGCAAGAGGAAGGAGAAATGGGGATATATGTATACCTATAGCTGATTCACTTCGTTATAAAGCAGAAACTAACACACCATTGTAAAGCAGTTATACTCAAAGATGTTAAAAAAAGAAATGTGCTGAAATACAAAGTATTTTAAAGAACTTCTGTAACAAGATGGCAGATAGTAAGATTTATTTTAATTTTTCAATCTGCAAAAAAACCCCCCAAAACAAAAAACCAAACTATACTCATATATATATATATATACACACACACACACATATATATATGTATATATATATAGAGTGTCGACATTTTCAGAGCACTTACATTAGGAAACATTGTGTTTCTCCTCACCATATGACAATACTGTATATGCCACAGTAAAATTTACAAAACAATCGCATCAGCAATCACACAAACGTCATGATTTTCATGTCAAAACACAAGAAAAAATAGACATCTTCCCGGCACTTTGTTTGCAGCCCCACAGAGAGGTTCCCACAAATGCTGTTAGAAACTTCAGCTTTTAAAACCTAACAGTGGCTATTAGAGAAGTCATATCCTTTCCAGATCAAACTTAATGAGAATTTCGCCCTTTTAAAATAGCAACCAATGGTTTATTAATGGGTACGGTGAAGTTTACCCACCAAAAGATGTGTAAAAAATTGCATGAAAGTAAAAATAAATAAAGCTGTTGTAAATCAGCCTTGTTTACACTATAGTTCAGAACAGAACACTAACACATAAAACCATCATTAAAGTTTTATAAAGTAATTATTTATATTCAAATTACAGCTATTCAACAAATCTAATGAAAACAAACTGATTTGGTAAAGGTTCAGACGTTCACACTCCAGCAGTGTCAGTTCACAAGGACGCTCCAGCTGCGATGGGCAGTAGTGATGACATATCGCTGTTCTGACATAAGGCACTAGATCTCAATATGCCACACACTCGCCTTATGTCATATTACCTGTTAGATACCAGTGAATTCTTTAAAATGAAAAATAATAGAAATTCAGGACACAGTGCACTTTAATGACATACAGCATCTGAAATCTTTCAGACAACGGTCTGAAGAGTCTTTTAATGCAAGCTCGCATCTTCAAACACAAAATCTTTCTTTTTTATGCTTAGTTTCAACATCACTGGAAAAAACACCCATCACTAAACCCTGATACACATTCTCAGCCATCGGACTCTGTTCTATCGCGGTCAGTGTTCATGAGGCAAAGCGTGACCCAGCATCTTTGTTCAAGTTCTCCTGCAGGGGCTCCTCCACTCACGGTTGTCATTCGGTTTCTGTCTCCTTCTGCTTGGCACCTATTAGGAGATGGGAAAGGAAAGTTTCAAAGCCATATAAAAATACGTTGCAGCCGTGCATGTCCTATATGAGCGCAGTGGTGGTTCTCTGCCTGGTGGCACCTACCCGCACCTGCAGAGCCTTAGGAGACGTGGGGAATGAGCAGGTGAGCTCCAGGCTCCCCATCCCCACCTGCCATCAGTGCAGCACGCTTTTAATCCATTTTGCATATCGTAATTCTAGCACTTTTTTTTTTTTTTCCTTCTGGCCATGCCACAAGGCTTGAGGGATCTTAGTTCCCAGACCAGAGACTGAACTTGGGCCACGGCAGTGAAAGCGCGAAGTCCTAACCACTGGACCATCAGGGAATTCCCTGCATATCATAATTCTAAATATGCAAGGTTTAATTTGGAAAAGAAGAGGGTTCTGCTGCTAAAAGTTTTTAAAAGAAATATGTATTTAAGTTTTAGCGAAGGTGCCAAGTATTTCTGTTGTACATACTTATAAAAACGTAAAAGCATTAAACATGCTTACAGTAACTGCACATAAAACCTACTCTCACCTTGCCAGGATATTTTGAAATGGGTTGGGAGGGGGAGCTGCCATTTTTTTCATTACAACAGATTCTGTATTTTCTCATCAGACACTAGAAGACACTCAACTTTGAAAGAGATCAACACTCTATAAAAATAAGGGGCTAAAATTGTAGCTGCTGCCATCAGGCTGTTTACTCACGAGCTGCACATGTGGATACTTAGGTTTGTCTGGATAGTCTGAATTAGGCTGGACAGTGAAACTGCTAAAAACTTTTTAAAAAAGAGAAGATGTTATTATATCAAATCAGTATCCTTAATGGGGAATTGTGTCCATTATCTGGTGAAAAGAATAACCACCGGTACCTTTTATTCACATAATAGTGGATTCTTTTAAAAAGCATCTCTTACTGATTATTCCATAAACATCCACTCAGCAGGGCTTGTCCAGGTATGGGGCTTGTCCCGGGTATGGGGTCTGACGGCGCACAGCGTTCACACACGGCTGTGGTTTCAATCAGAGTATCTCTGGAGGGCCACTAGGCCTGTGTCAGGCTGCTCATCCTATAGCTGAAGGGAGGGACGGAGGCTGCACAGGTGAGCAGCAAGCTGGCCCACACTCACACAGCTCCGAGGGGACAGCGGGGTTGGGCTGCCCAGGCTGGACCTCTAGTCTGATGCTCGCACCACACGGTCACCCGAGTATGCTAGCGTCTGATCTGATGGAGGCGCTCCCTCTCTTCCAAGACAGCGCCACTCCCGGTGTTCACCGGTAATCCGGTTATTAGGAATACAGGGGATTTTCCTAAATGAACAGCGTTATACACACCGTGCTACAAAGAATTCTAATTCGACTATCCCTGTCTTTACAATATTTATTTCTGTGATAACAAACATTCCAAATCCAGCCGTGAAACAGGTTTCCTCCTTGCATTTTCATTAATGCTGACTTGCATTAATAATTTAGAATTTTTGAAATATCAAATTTGGATGGAAATTTAAACTCATCCAGGCGAACATTCTCATTCTTATGGTTTGTGACACCAAGACATAGACAGGATAAAGAATTGCTTACTCTGAATTGGTAATCACAAAGAATCTTGGCCACGGGGACAGAAGCGAGTTGACATTTGGCCTGACTCAGCCTGGCAAGCTGTGTGCCTTGGCCCAGGGCCAGCTGACTAGAAAAGGGGCGTCTTTTTCTGAAGGTGCCAAGTTACATCCCTGTGGGGATGAGCCTGCCTGGAGATGAGTCCTTTTCCTAACATGCACAGAGGAGCTGCACAGCTGACCCTTGAACAACACTGGGGCGCTACACACAACTTATCCTTTGTATCCACGATTCCCCTCCATATCCGCAGTTCGGTGTCTGTGGATTCAACCAACCATGGACTGTGTAGCACTGCAGTATCTACTATTGAAAAAAATTCACGTATAAGTGGACCCGTGGTGTTCAAGGGTCAACTGTAGATAAATGCAATCACACTCTTTGCATTGGTCCTGCTTCCTTGCTCTGTTTCGTCTGTGGGGTTCAACCACCGTCCGATACAGCTATGTGTGTTCACCATCAATGCATTCCACTAATGGACAGAATGCAGTCTGTCCGTTCTTCTGCTCAAAGATATTTGGGTTATTTCCAGTTTGAGGTTATTACAAGTAATGCTGTGAACAGTCTCACATCTTTTAGTCCTTTTCTCATGACTACAGAGATTATCATGAGCCATAAAAAAAACAAAAATGAAATCCTGCCATTTTTGAGAACATGGATGGATCTTTCACTTATTTCTAAGTGAAATAAATCAAGACAGAGAAAGATAAATACCATATGGTTTCATTCATATGTGGAATCTAAAAAGACCCAAGCCAAAACTGATGAACAAAGACAACAGAAGAACATGGAGAACACAACAGTGGTTTACCAGAAGGAAAGGGGGTGGGGGTGGCTGCAGTGGGTGAGAGGCTCAGCTGTGTGGTGGTGGATGATAGCTGGTCTTGGGGGGTGATCACTCTGTAGTGTGCACACATGTTGAACTCGAATGCTGTACTAAAACTTATGTAATGATTAAAAAGAGGTTACCATGAGTTTCAGGTTCTCACATATCTGACATTTGAAAATGACTGCAACAAGCCCCGTGTCTAGAGTTTCTGACTCAGCAGGCATGGGCTGGGCCCCACCTGTGCGTTTCTAACAATGTCCAGCTGCTGCTCCTCTACAGCCTGCTGGGAGTCACCGCCCCCCGGAATCACGCCCCTGCCCTTCTCACTTAATCAGTGTGATCTGTTTCTCGCTGGTGACGGGGATTCCTTTTCGGGTGGGTATCTCCAGGCTATAGGCCAACTGTGAAAACTAGTCTTAGCCAGTGTGATTGATTTCTGAACTAAAGAAAAATCAATACCCTAGTAAAGGCACATTTTAATGTTTAACTTCTAAGAGTTCAAAGGGCACATGGTTTAGTCTCCTGTCTTGGCCTTGTTCTGTGAGGCCTGAGGCTGGGTTGTCTGTACTTCGTGTGGGTGGGGAGGGGAAGTGGAGGGCTGGTGGTTTTAGGACCCCTTCAGCCATTAAACAATTAAACTGTGTGACACAGGAGAAACACCAAAGGCCCCTCCCTCCCCCTGCCTCACGGGCTCCCTGACTGTGACCTGAGGGTTTGCTTAGAGTTAATCTGGCAGAAAATGAGTTTAGTCACCGATGTTTGGCAGTTAACGTAATTTCCATACACTATTAATGGAAAAAAGTTTGCGTAGGTCAAACTTTTATATACCCACTACTAGTAAGCTTTTTTTTTCTTTTTGAAGGGTAGATGGTTTCAATACTTAGGTCCCAAAGAATTTCCCTCCTGATTTCCAGTTAGTAGCCCTAAACATAAAGCAAAACTGAGGAGATCTTCACTTTTTAATGGGCAAGGTTGTGACGATCATGGCAATGAATTCTTGATTACTTAAGCACTTCTGGGTGTCGACAGGATGCTCTTAAGTCAGAATACTTTCTATAAGCTTTTCAAAACCACAAAGAAAATGAAAATGGTTTACAAAGTACTGCACAGAAAGGTGAGGCTGGCAGGTGGGCGAGGGAGGGCTTGCTGCCCCGCATCCCCGCCCCTGCCCCGGCTCCCTGCGCACTTACAGTAAAGGTCAGACACTGGCATTTATACCTGCGGGGGTGAGTATCAGGGCTTGCAGAATATCCGACAGGGAAATAATACCCACGATACTGTCTGTTTCGTTTACTACCACCAGCCGATGGACCTGCAAACAAGAGGAAAGGAGGCCACGTGTGAAAGTTGAAATAAGTAAAGGTTTAAAATGGACGTTAGAAGAAAAGTCTTTCATGTGCTATACAATGAACAGATCCCACAAATGAGAGAAAGTAACAGTGCACAAAGCCATGCAATGGTCTTGGCTCTGTTAAAATGCAATGCTGATTTGCTTGACTACTTTTAAGAAAAATTAGCCAGATATGTCCTGCTGAGTTTTCTATTTTCAAAATATTAATATATGAAAGATAAATTCAAAACATGAAGTATCACAGTAGCTGCTTCATGTGGCTCTAATCTCTAAAACGGTTTTTAATTTTTAAAAGTTGTATCTCGGTTTCTGTTAACTATCAGATAACTGTTTTTACCTGGGAGAGAAGTCCAAATAAGCAGTGAAACTAAATAAAAGGTCACTGCTCTTAGATTATATTTTCCCTTTTCTCTATGAAGTTCATATATTAAGAATAACAGAGAATGATCAACTATAATCAAGTGAAATAAATTACATTCACATCTTGTTTTCTACTTGAAAGTCTTTTATAAGTGAGTGGACAATGTTCTGAGGTATTACTATAGCAAAGTGTCCTTAAAACAGGAAAGGAGGGAGAGAGCATCACGCTTCTCTGATTTAAAAGCTTTAGAATTTAGGCTTGAGGCAACCACATGCCAGTCGGTTACCCTGGAGATCCTCTTCTCCACACTGAACAGTTAGAACCCGCTGGTACAGAATGGGTGGCACAGGAGGGAGATGGGAGGAGCGGGGAAATCATTTTTATAGTTTGTCTCTAATGATACTGTGCCGGTGATGCTTTTGACATCATAGCTTCTTTTAGGTTAAAAGAGAAAAAAATCACTTTGTCATCTTTCTCATGCTAATCAACATAAACTTCTTTTAAAAGCTTCTCTAGAAAAAGTTATGTTCTTCAATAACCCTGTGATATAACACAATTATCTATTAACTTTAATCATAAGTTGATTTACATCTAGGGCCAGAGAATGCTGTATATTCTATACTAGACACATTTTGTTGTTAACATTTAATAATGATAAATAACTATCTTTTGAACTACTAAAGGTCAAGGGGAAACCATTTCACTTAGAATTAGTTCTGCCAGACAGAAATGACCACCAAAAATATTATCATCTGTTGCTGAGTCTAAACTTATGAATGTTTCTTTTCTAAAAGCTAGTGTGATATTTGTCATATAAATAAACCAAATCATCGCTGATACCGTATACCCTTCTCCTAACAAAATATGTTGAAGCTGGGAATTCCCTGGTGGTCCACTGGTTAGGATTCTGTGCTTTCACTGCCGAGGGCCTGGGTTCAGTCCCTGGTTGGGGAACTAAGATCCCACAAGCTGCTCAGTGCAGCCAAAAAAAATACTATATATATATAAAATATGTGCGTATATATATGTGTGTGTGTGTGTATATATGTGTATGTGTGTGTGTATATGCATGTGTGCGTATGTGTATATATGTGTGTGTGTATATGCGTGTGCGCATATATGTGTGCGCATATATATGTGCGCGCGCATATATATGTGTATGTATGGTGTATATGTGTATGTATGTGTGCGTGTGTATATGTGTGTATATGTGTGTGTGCATATATATGTGTATGTGGGTGCGTATATATATGTGTATGTCTGTATATGTGTATATATATGTGTATGTGTGTATATATATATATATACACACACACACACATGTTGAAGCTAAAAACTGGTTTGTCCCCCAACAAGGAGTCATATGGTGAAAAAAATTAATGACGAAAAAAGTCAAGGTGGGTAACTTGAGAAAACTTTAATTACACCTGTATTTCCCTCAATGACCTATTTTCATATTAAAGTTTGTGCTGCTCACCAGATGGACTTCCAGGACAAGCCAATCACTTCTTCTCCTACCTGACAGTAGCACGCGCTCAAACAGGGGTCTTGGGAACACGAAGGCGTGCTGGCGTTCTCCACAGAAACAGCCGTGTTAATACTGAGGTGCGAGTCTTTCTAGTCTCTTTTCTATGCACGTGCACATATTTTAACACGAAGCATCACACTATATATAGTAACTGGCCTTTCTCTTAGCAATATATTGTTTTTCCATATCAACAGTATTCTCCTTTAACATGATTTTTAACTGTTATAAAGGATTCCATCAGATGGATGTGGTCCATTGTCCTTAAAATTAGGGAGGAATGTCTTACCTATTTCTGCTTATGATCTTCAAAAGGTATATACAAGAGAACAATAAAAACCTTAGATGTATTCCTAAGTCAATTAGAACCCTCTGGAAAACTAGTAATGGATGTTAAATTCAAGTAGAAAAAGACTTCGTGTTGAGACTAGTGAAACAGGGTAAAAGCCATGGCAGCTGAAGCTTGGGGAGTCAGCTCTGCTGAGGACGGAGCAGGGTGTTTAACTTAAAAAAAAAAAAGATCAGAATACATTTTATTGACTTACTTGTTAAGACCACATAATTACACATTTTTAGCTTTAAATTCATCAATACTCTAATGAAACTTAAAGCTCTTGGGATTTCTGTTTTCTCAAGTATGTTTTAAAACGATGAAAGTATCTTTATTTGATTCAGCTATGATGTCAGGACTTATAAATTAAATTCAATTCAGTGAACATTCACAGATGACCTACTATGTGCCAAGACATGTGCTAGGTTCTGGAGCAGGGAGACTGTGTCACAGGACTGGACTGGAAGGCTGCCTCACGGGCTGGTCCTGTGACTCAGAATTCCTGCGGCACTGTTTCCTAGTTAGGTGCTCATGGCAGACGGGGCGGTGGGGAGGGACCCGGATGCAGCCACTTTACCTCGGCTCTCACTATTCTGTCCACGATGGTCTCCAGTACTTCCAGCTTACTGCACTTCACTACGCCTTCGAAATACTGTGACCGGTGCTGCAGGGCCTGGGTCACTGTGATGTCTAGGTTGTTGTATGTTTTTTCAGCAGCAAGGTTCTATAATAAAGTAACAGTGAGTTATATCCTTCATTTCAATTCACATTTAATGACCAAAGTTAGTTCAAAGCAGCTTGTTGTTTAAAAACATTAATGTTTATCATAACTTAGTACCACTGTACCAGCTTATGACATGCCATCAGTACTGTTATTTCATCATCTTATCAATAATCATTTAAAGCTTATAAGGTGTACCTTTATTATGAAGCAACCGTTTAAAACGGTTGAATTCTGACTGTATGTCCTACAGAAGATTCCCCTATCCTTACCCTATAGGGTTCTTTTTTTTTTTAATTGAAGTATAGTTGATTTACAATGTAGTGTTAGTTGCTGGTGTACAGCAAAGTGACTTATTTATATGTATATTTTTTCATTATAGGTTACTATAAGATATTGAATATAGTTCCCTGTGCTATACAGTAGGGCCTTGTTGTTTATTTTATATACAGTAGTTTGTATCTGTTAGTCCTAAACTCCTAATTTATCCCCCCACTTTCACCCTATGTTCCCTGAATGAACAGTGTTTCGAGAGGTGGAGTAACACCTGCAAAGGGTGAGAAGTCCCCAGGGCTAGGGAACAAGGCTTTTGCTAGAAAGACTTTGCGGGGGTGATCACGGAGGAAGCCCTGTAGATCGGAGTGGCTGCTCAAGGTTCTGATTAACCTTACAGGGTCCCACCCAACCAAATTCCAATAAGCCTATTTTTTTGGTGTCTGTTATGTTAAATAGAATAAGATGAAACAAAAGGGTCTGAGACAGCTACAAAAGAATACTTAATGCTATGGTCAATATTAAGGCAAAAAAACGGTATGCAGGTTTGGGGCTATCAAAGTTTCAGTTCCCTTTCTTAGAAATAATGTAAAACTCTAAGGAAATGAATTTAAATGAATGGGGGAAAAGTATCGAGTGGAAGGATGTAGGACCAAAATCAATCTAGTAAATTTAAACCAGGGAATAAAAAACAGAACTTTACATAATGTTATTAAATACATTTGCTGTCCTCTTCAGAACAGTTGTTCCCAATTAGCAAGTAGTGGGATGTGGGTGACCAGGAATCCACCTGCGCACTAAGCACATGCCTGTTGGCAGAATGAATCAATGTCTCTGGTATAGAAACATGACTATTTAACACATACACATGCTGTAGTAACGGATAAGTGACTCACGTACTGAAAAGACAAAGAATTATAAAATGCTACTAATATGGAAAGGTACAGTCTCCCAGGACTGAACCAGGAAGAGTCAGAAAATATGAACAGACCAATCACAAGCACTGAAATTGAAACTGTAATTAAAAAACCACAAACAAAAGGCCAGGACCTGATGGCTTCACAGGTGAATTCTATCAGACATTTAGAAAACAGCTAACACCTATCCTTCGGAAACTGTTCCAGAAAATTGCAGAGGAAGGAAAACTCCCTAACTCATTCTATGAGGCCACCATCACCCTAATACCAAAACCAGACAAAGATACCACTAAAAAAGAAAATTACCGGCCAGTATCACTGATGAACATAGAAGCAAAACTCCTCAACAAAATACTAGCAATTTGAATCCAACAATACATCAAAAGGATCATACACCATGATCAAGGATTTCTCAGAATCCACAAATCAATCAGTGTGATACACCATATCAACAAATTGAAGAATAAAAACCTATGATCATCAAGCAGAAAAAGCTTTTGACAAAATTTAACACCGATTTATGATAAAAACTCTCCAGAAAGTGGGCACAGAGGGAACCTACCTCAACATAGTAAAGGCCATATATGACAAACCTACAGCTAGCATCATACTAAAGGGTGAAAAGCTGAAAGCATTTCCTCTAAGATCAGCTGAAAGCATTTCCTCTAAGATCAGGAACAAGACAAGGATGCCCACTCTCACCACTTTTATTCAACACAGTTTTGGAAGTCCTAGCTACGGCAGAGAAGAAGAAGAAATAAAAGGAATCCAAATCACTGTTTGCAGATGACATGATAGTATACACAGAAAATTCTAAAGACGCTACCAGAAAACTATAGAGCTCATCAATGAATTTGGTAAAGTTGCAGGCTACAAAATTAATACACAGACACCTGCTGCATTTCTACACACTAACAATGAAAGATCAGAAAGAGAAATTCAAGAAACAATCCCATTTACCACTGCATCAAAAAGAATAAAATGCCTAGGAATAAACCTACCTAAGGAGACAAAAGACCTGTACTCCAAAAACTATAAGATGCCGATGAAATAAACTGGAGAAGACACAAACAGATGGAAAGATATACCATGTTCTTGGAATGGAATAAATACTGTCAAAATGACTATACTACCCAAGGCAGTCTACAAATTCAGTGCAATCCCTATCAAATTACCAATGGAATTTTTCACAGAACTGGAACAAAAAAAAATCTTAAAATTTGTATGGAGACACAAAAGACCCCAAATAGCCAAAGCAATCTTGAGAAAGAAAAATGGAGCGGGAGAAATCAGGCTCCCTGACTTCAGACTATACTACAAAGCTGTGGTCATCAAAACAGTATGGTAGTGGCACAAAAACAGAACTGTAGATCAATGGAACAGGATAGAAAGCCCAGAAATGAACCCACGCACCTATGGTTAATTAACCTACAACAAAGGAGGCAAGACTATACAGTGGTGGAAAGGCAGTCTCTCCAACAAATGGTACTGGGAAAACTGGATAGCTACATGTAAAAAAATGAAATTAGATCATTCTTTAACACCATACACAAAAATAAGCTCAAAATGGATTAAAAACATAAATGTGAGACCAGACACTATAAAACTCTTAGAGGAAAACATAGGCAGAACACTCTCTGACATAAATCGCAGCAATATCTTTTCCCATCTGTCTCCCAGAATAATGGAAATAAAAACAAAAATAAATGGGACCTAATTAAACTCAAGCTTTTGCACAGCAAAGGAAACCATAAAACGAAAAGACAACCCACAGATTGGAAGAAAATATTTTCAAATGATGAGACTGACAAGGGATTTAGTCTCCAAAATTTACAAACAGCTCGTGTGGCTTAATATCAAAACAACCCAATCAAAAAATGGGCATAAGGGGCTTCCCTGGTGACACAGTGGTTGAGAGTCTACCTGCCGATGCAGGGGACACGGGTTTGTGCCCCGGTCCGGGAAGACGCCACATGCCACAGAGCGGCTGGGCCCATGAGCCATGGCCGCTGAGCCTGCGCGTCCGGAGCCTGTGCTCCGCAACAGGAGAGGCCACAACAGTGAGAGGCCCGCGTACCGCAAAAAAAAAAAAAGGGGCATAAGACCCAAATAGACATTTTTCCAAGGAAGACATACAGATGGCAAAGAGGCACATGAAAAGATGGTCACCATCGCTAATGATCAGAGAAATACAAATCAAAACTACAGTGAGGTATCACCTCACACCAGTCAGAATGGCCATCATCAAAAAATCCACAAACAGTAAATGCTGGAGAGGGTGTGGAGAGAAGGGAACCCTCCTACACTGTTGGTGGGAATGTAAATTGGTGCAGCCACTATGGAGAACAGTATGGAGGGTCCTTAAAAAACTAAAAATAGTGCTACCATACAACCCTGCAATCCCACTCCTGGGCATATATCCGGAGAAAAACATGGTCCAAAAGGATACATGCACCCCAATGTTCATTGCAGCACTGTTTACAATAGCCAAGACATGGAAGCAACCTAAATGTCCATCGACAGAGGAATGGATAAAGAAGACGTGGTATATACATACAATGGAATATTTCTCAGCCATAAAAAAGAATGGAATAATGCCATTGCAGCAACATGGATGGACCTAGAGATTGTCATACTGAGTGAAGTAAGTCAGACAGAGAATGAGAAATATCGGATGATATCACTTATATGGGGAATCTAAAAAGAAATGATACAAATGAATGTATTTTCAAAACAGAAACAGAGTCACAGACTTAGAGAATGAACTTATGGTTACGGGGCAGGGGCAAGATGGAGGGAAGGGAATAGTTAGGGATTTGGGGATTGACAAGTACACACTGTTATATTTGAAAAGGATAACCAACAAGGACCTACTGTATAGCAGAGGGAACTCTGCTCAATGTTCTGCGGCAGCCTGCATGGGAGGGGAGTCTGGGGGAGAATGGATACATGTATATGTATGGCCGAGCCTTTGCTGTGCATCTGAAGCTGTCACAACATTGTTAATCGGCTATATTCCAACATAAAATAAAACGTTAAGAAAATAAAATGCTACTAATATGTTATTCACTGCTAAACCAATGAATATTAAAAGTACAATTACTGTTGGGGACTATGGAATTCTCTGATAAGGTCCTCATCCTCAAAGAAGCTAGGAATTATTAAAATAGGAAAAGTCACAAAAAACAGACTAATGAATATGCTTTAAATGCATTCTAGATGACAGGTTTAACAAAATTAAAAATACTTACAATTACATCAAATTTGGAATAAATATCTACAACTTTTCCTAAAAATAAAAATGTATGTTAGAATAATGTCTTAGAAACAAAAAACAGCATTTAATATCAATCTTAACTAGATATTTACTAAGAATTAAATATTGCTAAACAAAATAAACGACTATTTTAAAAGGGACATAAAATCATATCTTAATGAAAAATGTGAAAATAAGCCAGTATAAAATTCTTATTCTCCTGAGTACTCCTTGGTCTAAGTTTTCATTTCCCCACTTATCTGATATGCCAGGTCATTTAACAATAGTTTTACCCTAAGGAGATAAACCGTTGTTTCTGTTCAACTGGTACGGCCCAGCACACAGACCTGACTCGTCCACAACAGGCAAGGCTGACACTCGTCTTTCCACGAAGACGTTCAAGGCTTTAATGATGGGAGTGTCTGGGTGTATGAAGGCGATGTTGTGGTAGGTCCCGATTCCGAGTGCACCCAGGTTCTGCTTCATGAAAGCAGGCTTTGGCATATCAGACATCTAGACAGGAAGACGGGCACAGATGCTCTAGAGCCAGAGCAGACCTTTTCAGTGTTCACATGTCCACATTCGATGAAAAACTATGTGCAACAAATTAGTCTTTTCTAACAATCCACCCGGATATCTGAATTAACATGAAAATGTTACATACAAGAACTGTGTCTTTTGTTCAAACCAGCTTATATGTTTATGCTTATATTTAACTACGTAGTAAAAATACTGCAAAGCACTAACATTGTAACATTTTCTCCTTCTCTTCACCCACTGGAAAACCGGACAGGAGGGAACAACAGGTCTATTTGGAAATTAAGACCCATCAGCCACTGAGAATCTTCTTAAATTATTCATGTTAAATTCATTGTCCTGCTGTCATCATTAGGTAATGTTTATTAAGAACCCACACATTTCCAAACCCAAAGCGTCTGATGGTGGCTGTCTGAGCTGCTAAGCTAGTTCCCACACCATCCCACCTCTACATCCTGAATTCTCCATTGGAGGACTCCAATTTTTGTCTACTAGGAACAAGAACAAGCCAACTGAACAGAATTAAAAGAACATTTAAAAGTTAACTTTTCACGGGCTGTTTTAAAGGAGGAGGGAGAAGTCAGAAGAGAGAAGTCTAGGATCATGTTTGACTAAAACAAAATTAGGTCTATGGTTTCAAAAATCCACCTTTTATAAAGGGTACAGTTGCTTCCATCCTCCTGGTGTACCTTATAATTATCAGGAAAAGATGAACAATTAGAAGAAACAAAATGTTCAAGTCAAAGAGTTCATCAATATTCAAATCATGAGAATCCTAGAAATTTAGAGAGAAAAAAAGAAAGACCTATTAGGTCATCTAGCCCATCTCGATGCAGGATAAACCCCTGTTCCATCTGCACACTTAGGCTGACTGTCAAACGTCTCTAAGGGCAACGCTACTTTTTCTCGGAACATGATCTCAAGGCAGTAAAAATCAGGTTCTGGAGTTTATTTAAAATTCTTCATTTTTATCTGAAAATCCCTAGCTGAATATTCTAACGGCATGATTCTAATTACCATATTGGCCCAAATATAAGGCAGTACTGGCAGAGGCCACCTCCTCTACTTGTTGTAGAGGAGAAGACGCCAAAGGCCTGTCTCAGGCTGTGCCTCCCCGTCGGCAGCGCGGCCACGGAAATGCTAAGGGCCTCCGGGTGCCGTCGGCCCTGTGAGCCAGGCGCCCTGAGCCCGAGGATCTAAGCTGCCTCTGGACACGGACGGACGGAGCTGTTAGAGGGAGGGCTGCTCCACCACCACCACCGGCAACCGTGGCAAAGCTACGCAACCTTGCTGAATGTTATCGCTTCCAAATCAGATGAATAAAAATACCTACCTGAGAGGGTGGTGGCTAGGACTGGATTTATCGTGTCAAGTGCCTGACACAGCGTAATGCTTAACAGTGTTTAGCTCCTCTCATAATTAGTACTGTTTTAAAATGGCGACTCTAAGGGGTACGTGGGCTAAGAGCCTGGTACAGCCCCACCCTGGGTCCTGTTAAAGCTCAGTGCCAAGGCGACTGCATGCGTTCAGCCCATGGCAGACAGGAAGTCTGACCAACAATGTCCCCCGCCTCCTTAATTCTTCTTCCCTAGACTGCCTCTTTACCAAACTTCATGCTTTTTTGTAAATCACTCTTCTCCTTCCTACATTCTTTCTTAGTGTTTATTTAAACATGATGACTGTTACATTTACACAGACTATTAAAATATAGGGCTGGTTTGATGGACAAGGCATTTCTCCCCATCACTTAAATCCTCTGCGGTGCTGTCGGAGCAGCCTGGGCTCCTTCATGCCACACTAGAATGCTGCTTTATTTCCTAATTTGAAGCTGTGGAGAAGACAGGAAAGCTAACTTGACGTAGATTTTTAATGTCTACTAAATTCTTTTTAAAAAATGATTCTGAATATGATCTCTTCTGAACTATGAATGAGGCCCCTTACTGGTTCTAGTTGACCAATTACTTATAACCTCAACTTCAGTGCATGTAATTAAAAGGAAAAAATTGAAGCCCTCCTGTGAACACTCTGGCCCTTCTGAGCCTCTTTTTAATACTGCCGACCGAAGAGGTTCTGAGTTTTGGATGATTATGAAGCCATCTCATTTCCGATGCAATTGAGAAAACCTACAGACAATATAGCCCTGATTTGGACCAACATGGTATTCTGTTGTCAAAATTTTATTTGCTTTGGGCTTTTCTATCACTGCTGCAGTAAATAATAAGACCATCCTGGGGCCAGGACTTCTGAGCATGTCCCCAATCATGACACCAGTAAAGCATCATAAGGCAGTCTGGCTCAAGCTATCTTGAGTAAGCAGTTCCTTAATCAGACTGACTCGCGAACTGCTTTGCTTCTCCTCATTTTAGGTGATAAAATATTCTCACTTAAATAGAGAATTCCAAGTGTTTTTATTTGCACTGAAAGGTGATTACTTTTTAACTGGAATCAACTTTGAGAATGTACAGTTCAAATAGTAGTGAGTTGAGAAACTGAAGTTTAGGAAACGGAGACCTCAAAACTAACGATTTCTTCTATGAGGGTAACAGGAGCCAATTTACTTGAAGTAAATTAAAGTAGATGCAGCTATGTCTTTAGAAACACTAAAAACTACTTACAAAAAGCTGGAGGAACTTGAGGATTCTTTTGTGGGTAAGTATATAAAGTGCATTCCCACTGATAGGGTCAATAACTGGCAATCTGTGGATTTTATTTTTGATCAACGAGTGTACAGCATCGAAGAGGCTGCGGGAAAAGCCATTACAGTTGTTAGGAGGCTTTAAAGAAGAATTAGAAAACTTTGGACCACCCCTGCTTTAAACGTACTTTGTGTCTTTAAATTACAATATTAAAAGGTTGACTGACCTAAAACAGCGTTCTAGAAAAGTTTTAAACTGGAGATCTCAGCAAAAGTTTCGATTTTCCGTAATCTGTTAATAAGCCTCAAATCCAAGTGTGGACTACAAAAATCTCTAGGAGAGCAGTTTTTTAATAGCAGGTTTGATGCTTTTATTTGAGAAATGACAGAAGCTAACCCCTCGGGAAGCTAATGGACGACCCTGGCAACAGAGGGCACTGTGGCCGGGGCCCCCTGCACTGGCCGCTTCTGTGCTCAGCCTGCCCACTGCTGGCTGCTCCAGCTTCTCCTGTGACTGCCGACAAGGAGGTGTGCTGGGTGGAGCTGTTTTTTAGGACTTGGAAATAAAATAATAAAAATCAATATTCCACTTTTTCTCACTAGTGCACTAGTTTTAAGAATGCTTTTAGGGCTTCCCTGGTGGTGCAGTGGTTGAGAGTCCGCCTGCCGATGCAGGGGACCCGGGTTCGTGCCCCGGTCTGGGAGGATCCCACATGCCGCAGAGCGGCTGGGCCCATGAGCCATGGCCGCTGAGCCTGCGCGTCCGGAGCCTGTGCTCCGCAATGGGAGAAGGCCACAAAAGTGAGAAGCCCGCATACCGCAAAAAAAAAAAAAAAAAAAAAAAAGAATGCTTTTATTTCTGAAAATGTATCCGAGCTGTCCCAGAAGGCTTGGGTCAACACTTGTGGGCAGCCCCATCCTCTGACCACCTCTGGACCAGTGCCTAAGGAGACTGATTTTTCAACTTCAGTGCACGTTGGGACCCCTGGGGGAGTTGTTTTAATGCACATTCCGGGGCACTAAAACCGTCCAAAGACTGACTGGGAGAAGAGCCCAGAAATCTGCAGCTTTAATGAGCTCCCTAGTGTGTTTCTGCTGCAGGTGATCTGGACTTTCAAACTGCTCAGTATGACCATCTTCCTAGTTCATTCTCAGTCCTTTGGACCAACAATGGCTGTGATTTCTACTGTCTCTAAGTTTACTGAATTTAATATTAAGGAGGCTGGCCCCTATCTAGATTAAAAAAAAAAAAAATCTATCACCCATGGTGACAAAACAGATGAATCTGAATGAATGGAATGTTTTCAAAGGAGAAAAACTTGACAAGTTTACCTTGCGTCTGGAGATATATTCACTAAAGGCTTAAATGTTTCTTGTAAATAAAGCTCTGTATTTATAGAAAGAAAATATGTAATTAGTAACATATTTGCTGTTTGTAATTATTACATAAATTAAAATACCCTTCAATTTACAGGTAATAATTAGAAGGATTAAAAACCCAAATCGAATTAATTTACTGAACACTATTGTGTTACTTATAGTTGTGGCTATTATTAAACAACTTCCAAACTGTTTCAGGATGTTGCCTTTGTGGAAAAGTTAAGTATTTAAAAACAGTATTACAATAGATGTTGTAAAAATCAGAAGAAAAGTCAAGAAATCTGATAAAAGAGCAATACCAGCAGAGGTCACTAGAATGTTACCAAGTCACTATCACCCTCAACAAAGGAAGACTGTGAAATCCTTTGAAACTAATTTTCACAAGTTAAAAGGTAAAAGTTATAACAAACTTTGTTCTTTAAATGTTCTTAAGTTTTATTTTCCACACCAAAGCTTGATTTACTGTATCTGGGGATCTTTCTAGTATGCAGACATTATCTTTGTAAAGATAAGCTGTAATTTGCTTTACTGAGGTTTCTACACAGAAGGCATTCAAGAAAATCTCGACATTATTATTATTATCATTACTACCAAATACCATGTAATATCAAAATGTAAATACACTTAAACCTTGGTCTGACATTACTTATACAATAGAATTTATTACAAAGTATCTGTCTTGGTGTTAAAAAATATATATTCACTGCATAATAGGCAGTGCTAAAATGTGGATCCCATGTTGACTTACTTCGTTTGGTCTGACTTGATAAAGCTATCATCAATCAAATACATCGTTCAATGAAACCTCTAAATCATATGGGATTAAAGGAGGCCCAGCTCTCTTTAGAGCACCCTAACGGATGTTCAGATCTCGCAGCCAGTCACAGGGGTGCTTGTCACACCAAGCAGATAACGGGAGCACAAAGCTAAACCTCAGGTTTAAATGAAAAACTTCCTTGAGATGAGTTGGCCCCTCAGTTTCTAATGCAGGCTTCTCCCCCAACACCCTACAGAGGCTTCTTCCTCAGGGATCCCCATCACAGGCTCCCATCGAGGATATTCTTACTGATTGGTCCTTTGCCCCCTCTGTACCAACCCAGCAGGACGGGTCTCATTAAGACTGAACAATTTCACAATCATGAAATTACAGTTTAAAAAATGGCTCCATTTCAGAAAAGGGTATTGTGATTATAAAGGGTGAATTTCAGTGCTGCAAACGAAAGCAAGCAATCTTGAAGTTATTTTCGTGTGATTTTATCCAAATCATCTAGTTTAAGTTTCACTTGTTCTACTTGTCTCCATAATTTGTAAAGAAATAATCATAATGTAAAGAAATAATGACTGAATTTAAATAGGAACAGATCCTTGCTTTTGTTAATTTCAGGCATTCCTTTGGTGCATTTTCCATACAAAGGCAAAGATTTGGAAGGTAATGCTTAGAGGTGAATGGTGGCTCCACTGGGGGCCAGAGACTCGGGCACTAGTTACTATATCCCATCTGTATCCCAGCCTTAGTCTAAAGACTTGTTATAGGTTCTCTATACATGTGTACTAAACAGAACGGGCAATATTTAGAGTAGCACATGGCACACGGTCAGAATTAACATAGAAAGCAATGTCTTCATGTAGTCAGTTACTAAGCAGAGGACCTGTGAAATGAAAATATTTTATACATATGTAGAACATTTTTTCCCTCATATTAAAAGGTTTTTAACACTCAACAGTGCTTACCCCTCCATGTTTCAATCTTATGTTCCTCTAATTCATAAATCTGTACCTAGAAATAAGAAAAACTCTTATTTACAAATGTTAACACACACAACATAAGGGAAAAAAAAAGAAATTACTATTTCATAACTACTGCTGAGTCCCATAATTCAGCAGATGGAAACAATCAAGATAATTCAGAAATATTAGAAATATAAATGAGAGACAAAAAGTGCTCTACCTTTCTTTGAAGACAAATGCTTTATAAATTTAAAACATAAACCAACAATATTTTCATTAATTTAATTTGAACATTTCTGATACACTTAAATTTTAGAACACCCCCCCCACACACACACACGCACATATACACACATTCCTTCTTTCTGAGGATACATAAGATTTTTAGCATGTCTGATTTTAAAAGGGCAGTTGGTTAAATCGTGCTAATTAAGTTGCTGGATCAGGTTATGCCTGGACCACATGGGCGTCTTCACAAAGGTAGAGAGGGCGTTGAGTCTGGAGAGCCTGGAGGCTGGGCAGTGGGTACAGCACTTAGTCACCTGGAGTCGTCAAGCACTCACATCACTGCATCTTGGCTGCCGCTTTTGGTCAAAGTACTTAAGGTCTCTGAATCTGTTTCCCTTCCTAAACAGCTGGAGAGAAGGCCCTCCACATTCAGCTTGTGAGGACCATGTGTTCTGTGAGCCTGAGGCGGAGGGCCTCCCCACCTGCTGCAGCCTCCACTGCAGCTCAGCTTAAGAAAGTCACTCTGCCTCCTGCAGTGTTGCACTGGGACTCCTGGGGGCCCTGCAGTAGGAAAACCTGGCCTCTTCCTGAAGCTTCTTGAAGCTTAAAATCCAGTTGGCAACACTAAGACAGTCCTATACTGAAATGCCACCAACAACTGGCAAGAAACCACCAACAAGAAGGCGTACATATCAGAGCATACTCTAAAAGGCTTATTAGTGCAGGGATGCAGGGAGAGTAGGGGTGAGCAGAGGTCAGAGGTCAGACAAGGAAAACTTCAGGAGGTAGATTTCAGCCAGGCTCTGCATGATGTATGGACTTCACATAAAAGAAGATAAACTCGTAAGGGCCTGGAGAGGAAAAGGACTTCCTCATGTTCCCGAAACACAGAAAGGAGACGGTGCTGGGGGACAGGAGCAAGGAGTCTGGGGACTAATGACCCGAGGTGGGCTCCGTGTCTGGGAGAGAAAGCCAGGCCAGCACTGATGGGTTTAAGCAGTGGGACGACGTGACAGCACCAGAGCCAGATGCAAAACCGAGTGTCAGGACAGTTAGGTCTCGAATGGTGACTGTGGGAGTGTAGGGGCAACTGAAAGGAAGAACCAAAAGGTTTAGAGAATAATAAAACAGGGGAATAGAGACGAATGACTAAGTAAGAACCTGCGCCCCCCCTCCCCCATTTTGATGCCAGGTGACTGAACAACATCCACGACAGAGAGAAAGCCTAACTGAGGAAGATGAGGCTCTGGTTTTCACAGTTGAAAGCAGAACAATCCTGGTCTACATCTCACTTAGGCGGTTCTGAGGTGATGCCCGTGCTCTGCCTGCACACCCCCCTCGGAGCTTTAGCTACGGTCACCAGCATGGCCATGACTCAGCTAACACGGGGGTCCCTTAGGAACTGGGGGTGTTCGGCGCTGGCAGGGTGGGAAGGGGTGTGTGTGTGTGTGTGTGTGTAAGGTACAAACATGAGGAAGATACAGTCTCCACCTCAAAGAACTACCTAACAAGAAAGAACCTCAGATACCCCCCTATGACAGCCTTTCTCGACCTTGGCACTACTGACATTTTAGGCTGGATGCTTCTGTTGTAGGGCCGTCCTGTGCACTGTAGGACATTTAGCAGCATCCCTGGCCTCTGCCCACTAGACGCCAGTAGAACTGCCCCACCCTTCCCCCAGCTATGATAAAAAATGTCTCTAGATGTTGTCAAATGTCCCCTGGGAGGCAACATCACTCCCAGCTGAGAAACACTGCCCTGCAACTAATCAGAATACAGTATGAAAAGTGCTGTGTGGGTAGTTAATGGGGGCGCTGAAATAGTGACTAATTCTGCTCCAGGGAGATGGCACAGGGCTCTCCATCACTGAGGCAGTTCTCCAGGAGGATTCTGAAAGACCTGAATTTCAACTGCAAGGACCAAGGACCTGAAGGAGAACGTGCACGTGGAGGAAGTGGACTCAGATTTCCAAAGAAGAGAAGCTGCAGGGAGATGAGCAGAAGGGTCAGGAGGAAGAAAAGAGAGAACTGAGTGGGCAGGGCACGAGAGGAGAAACAAGAAGTGCCACCACGGCAGGCTCCGTAGGTGGCAGGGAAGAAGCAACCACCGCTCAAGCACAGAATTTAATAATTAAAAAAAAAAAGGTAGGGCTTCCCTGGTGGTGCAGTGGTTGAGAGTCCGCCTGCCGATGCAGGGGACACGGGTTCGTGCCCCGGTCTGGGAAGATCCCACGTGCCGCAGAGCGGCTGGGCCCGTGAGCCATGGCTGCTGAGCCTGCGCGTCCGGAGCCTGTGCTCCGCAACGGGAGAGGCCACAACAGTGAGAGGCCCGTGTACCGGGAAAAAAAAAAAAAAAAAAAAAAAAAAAAGAGAAAGCCCTGAGCCAGAAAGAAACGGTGCCTTACACAGAGGAGACGAGGATGGGGATTTCTACCGACTTCTTATCAGAAGCTCTGGGAGGCCAGAAGACAATGAAATTACATCCATAAAGTGTTAAAGAAAAAAACCCCAAAAACCAAACAACAGCTAACTCAATCTCTATAAAACAGCAAAACTGTCCTTCAAAAATCAAGATAAAAAAAAAAATCAAGATGAAATAATGACATTGTCAGACAAACAGAAACTGTGATAATTCATCACCAATGTGGACCACACAAAAATGCTGGTGGGAGTTCTCCAGATGAAATGACAACAGACGGTGACTCTGTAGATCCATAGAGAAGAACAAGAAATGGTACCTATGTGGGTAAATATAAAAAGCTAATCTTTTCCCTTTTACCCTTCATTTTGTTTAAAACAAAAACGATAGGGGTGGATTAAATGGAACTGTATTTTTCATATAATTCCGACACTAACTCTCAATAGACTGTGGTAAGTTAAAAATGATACTGAAACCCAGTCAGCAACCACACAACGACAACAACAAAACAGTGAGAAAGGTGTGGTTCAAGTATCAACAGAGCTCTATCAGCCCTGACGGAGGAGATGGGACCACCCTGAGTCTCCCGCTGAAAACAACTAGAAAATGGGAAACAATACGTGGAACCATCTTCAGACATCAGACAACACGCGAGGCAGGGCCGTCGTCCCTGAGAGAAGGGAAGCGGGCTGAGCCCCGTGACCGCCACGTCCCTCTTGAGAGGCACTCTGTGGACTGGTGCAGGCAGCTGACCCCAAGTGGAGCAGGTCTCAGTGAGCTGAGGAGGTAGAAATCAAAGTCTGGGCCGCCTGAGCCGGATGGAACCTGAAGGACAGACTACCAAACAAGGTGGAGCTGTCCAGAAAGAGAAAAGAAGGCTGCGCAGACACTGCCTGGAGGCCCCGACTGAACACCAAGCCGGGCACGCACGGGGTGAGAAGGCATCTGCCTTCTCACCAGGCAGAGTGAAAAGTCCTTGCTGAATAACCAGGGAAATCCATGGAGATCCCAGAAGTACTAGTAGAACTGAACCAGCCAGAGTAACGCTTAACACCCCAACAAAGCTTAAAAACAGCCTCGAAATAAGCACGTGAAAAGATACTCAACAGCATTAGCCATCAGGGACACGCAAACCGAAATAACAATGAGGTACCAATTCACATCCACTAGAATGGCTATCGTCAAAAAGAGAGACAGTAACAAGGGTCAGCGAGGACGTGGAGAAATCGGCACCCTGACACACTGCTGGTGGGAATGTAAAATGATGCAGCCGCTGTGGAGAAGTCCGGCAGTTCCTCAAATAGTTACACACAGATTACAATGTGACCCATAAATTCTACTCCAGGTCTACACCCAAGAGAAATGAAAACATATATCCACATAAGCTCCTGTACATACATGACTGTTCATAGCAGCATCATTCACAACAGCCAAATAGTGGAAACCATTCAATGTCCATCAACTGATCAATAAGTAAAATGTGGTATGGCCATACAATGGAATATTATTTGGCAATAAAAAGGAATGAAGTACTGATATATGCTACAACATGGAGGAGCCCTGAAAACACTATGTTCCGTGAAAGAAGCCGGTCACGGAGGACCACATATCGTGTGATTCCATTTACATGAGTTGTCCAGTACAGGCAAATCTACAGAGACAAAGTAGATCAGTGGTTGCCTAGGGCTGGCGGTGATGGTGGACTGGTGGCGTGTCACAGCTAAAGGTGTGAAGTTTCTTTTTCGGGTAATGAGAATGTTCCGAAATTGACTGTAGTGATGGCTGCACAACTCTGAATATACTAAAAGCCACTGAATTGTATACACTAAATGGGTGAAATATAGGATATATGAACTGTGTCTCAATAAAAGCTGTTTTTAAAAAAGGACCTGCAAGTAATTTAACTGCCTGTCCAGACAAACTCCAACTCTTTAAAGGAAGACAATACAGATATTCAACCACATGACATTAACAATGTCCAGCATCCGCTAGAAATTATTACATTTGCAAGAAGCAGGAAAATGTAACCCATAACAGGAGAAAAACCACCCTTTAGAATCAGACCCAGAACAGAGGTGAAGGAAAGAGCATCTGATACACACACACACACACACACACACACATATATCTCAGATATGTAACAACTGATATATAACATGTTCAAGGATTTAAAGGAAAACATGAACACAGTAAGGAGAGAAATGGAAAATATAAAGAAGAACCAAATGGAACTTCTAGGACAGAAAATACACTATCTGAAAGGAAAAATATAGTAGGTATGGTATTGTGGAGAAAATAACAGTGGAAATGAAGACACAGAAATAAAATATATCTGAAATGAAGCACTGAGAGGAAACAATACTGGGAAAACCCCTACAAAACAGCAGTCTCAGTTGAGTAACTAGAATCCTAGAAAGTGGGGGAGGGGACAGAAAAATACTTGAAGAAACAGTATCTAAGAGAATGGAGAAAAAGAATATGATAATCTCAACAGCTACAGACAAAGCATGTGACACAATTCAACATGCATTCACGAGAAACACTCTTGGCCAACCTGGAAAAGAACAAACGTCCTCAACATGATAAAGGGCATCTATGAAAAAACTACCGCTAACACCATAAGTAACAGTGAAATACTGAATGCTTTCCCTCTAAGATGGGACACAAGGGAAGGAGGTCCGCTTTCTTGATGTCAACGCTCTACTGGAGGTCTTAGCCAATGAAATAAAGCAAGAAAAGGAAATATCGCGTGTCCACAGACTGCAAAACTCGGTATTGTTAAGATGCCAACTCCTTCCCAAACTGCTCTACGGACTGCCTCCCAATAACATCAGCAGGCATTTTTTTTTTTTTTAATAGTTATCAAGAGACTGTTGTATTGGCATAGAGACAGACAAGTAGAACAACAGGACAGAACAGAGCCCAGCAACAGACCCACATTTAAGGCAGTAAAACAATTCTATGACAGAAAGAAAGTCTTTTCAACAAATGGGGTGGGTACAACTGACTGTATCTGCAGATAACATCATTACGTACACAGAAAAATCCTAACAAATGTACAAAAAGACTACTAGAATAAGTGAATCTTACAAGATGAAAGGTTAATATATAAAAATCAATTGTGTTTTTATATAGTAGTGATAAATTCTTAAAAATGAAATAAGCCATAGCTTTCACAATAGCACTTTTCTGTTTATAATTAGAAAATGAGGTGTAATATAGAGGAAACAAAATGTATCCTCAAGTATTAAGAAAAACTTTGGACTATATATTTAGATATAACTGCTCTTTAGAAATTCTGATTTAATTAGCTACTGCTGAGATCTATTATACGGGGTTTAGCTGCATTTTATTAAAATGTAGCCACTTATTAATCATATTTGTGCTGATTCTGCCAGCCCAAAAGCAGAGATATGACCATTATAAGGAAAACCAATATTCAGCTGCATTTGGCAGTATTTAAGAGATCAGGTATGGGGCTTCCCTGGTGGCGCAGCGGTTGAGAGTCCGCCTGCCGATGCAGGGGACACGGGTTCGTGCCCTGGTCCAGGAAGATCCCACATGCCGCGGAGCGGCTGGGCCCGTGAGCCATGGCCGCTGAGCCTGCGTGTCCAGAGCCTGTGCTCCGCAACGGGAGAGGCCACAGCAGTGAGAGGCCCGCGTACCGCAGAAAAAAAAAAAAAAAAAGAAATCAGGTATGTCATGTGAAATAAATATGGAATACTTATGAAGTCTTTGGTAAAACTTCCTTCTAAGAGTATGTCTTAAGCAGAAGCTTATTTTTCCATTTTGTGTAGGAATTTAATTATTGGGCAATACTGACCATTACATGTAAAAACAGTATTAACTGGATTGCCTTTTACCTATTAGATACCCAAAACAGTACTAGATAAAGAAAGTATACAATTCTGTCCTTCCCCAACCTTGCCAAAAAAAAACAAAAACAAAAACAACAAAACAAAACCAACTCAAAAACAACAACAAAAACCAAAACCAAACACCAAACAAGCTGGTAGAATCACAAAAATCAGTGTTAGATAAAGGCCATATGTAGTTTTCAAACTATGCTCTTATACAACAGTTGGACCAGGAACCAGGGATCTGCCACTAAAATTAGCCAGTAGCAGTCTTTTCTTAAGTGGCAGAAAAATGTCAAAACTGAATTTCTCCAATTAAAATTTTTACTTTAGAAGCACACAGTCCGTGTATTTCTTTTATAAAATTTCAGGGGTAACTGCATAAGGCCCGGGAGTCAGGCCTGTGTTGTTCTCACCTCCACCGTGGGCTTCACTGGGCACAGCCACCCCTGGTCTGGAAGGGTGCGAGGGGCCTCCTTCATTCACGGGTCCAGGCAGATCTCAACGCTACGGCATGCCCATAATGCCGTTAAAGAGCAGAAATTTAATGGAATGTATAGACCATCCAGGCAATAAATAAGCACACAGAATCCCACTAACCTGAGGACTCCTGAAAGCGGAATAAAGAGGCTATTGGCTTTTATACTTCCTGAGACTACCTTCTTAAGCTCCAAATATCAGACTGATTTACACTGAGGTTTCCTGCACATTATGTATACTTGGAAAAATCAACCACCGGCACCACCAAGCCGGTACCAAAAAAGAAAAACACAAAATCTTAAAACACACACACACACACACACACACACACACACACACACAGCTCTAAATACGTACAGAGAAATATATAGCTCCACTTACTTGACATAGGATTTCTGGCACTTACCATGGGTGACTTATAGTATCTATGAAGTATATTAATGAAATCTGTAATTGTTAGCATTCCTGGAAGAAAGAATTATATATTAAATGTAAAACTACGAAAACATTATTAAAGAAAAATTTCAGATGATGAGCAAACCTGGAGTATTTATTTACTAGACAGCCTTGAAGACTACCAGCACAGCTTAATACATTATTTAAAACTGTTAATCTGTTAATTATCTACACCACACTAAGATACACAAATTTAGCTGAAATCAAACCCGATAGTAATTAATGGAATTAATCACAGTAGTTGGCAATTCACCAAGACAAAACTTTCTGAATGTTTATTAAACATCACAAAAGACTTGTGGCTACATGTAAATAATTTAGGATACTTTAAAATAAGATAAAGTATCCCATAAGCTCTAGAAACATGACACTTTTGGTAGCACTTGGATTGTTTTCTGAGAATCCTCCTAAAAACAGCACCTTTCACAGGCACAATTTACGAAGGGCCCACTGTGTGCCGGACACCAGGACTACAGAGATGAAGGCGTGAACCTCTCCCCTGAGGCAGCTGCAGCCCGAGGGGCGGCGGACACCGAGTGCCATTTCAGAATGATGCGATGCCTCCTAAGAGGGACAACACCCATTGTCCACTGTGATTCATAAGATGAGAAAATTATGGAGCTTAGATACCGTGAGTTACGTGGTATTTTTAATAGCGTAACAACGCTTTATCAAAGGTACCAATCACGTTTCCATCGATTCATCTGCTGTGTCAGAAAAGTGCTCACCGGGGAGGGAGCGGGGATGGCCCGCGGCAGGACCGCAAGCGGAGGGACCGACAGGGAGGGGTCGGGCCTCAGCCTTGGGACCAGGGGACCGGCAAGGGCACTGAGGAGGCTTCAGAGCCAAAACGGCGCTGAATCCAAAGAAACTCCACACAGGTACATAAATGTTTTGAATTCACTCGCAGTCCCACCGCACAGGATGTAAAAGCAAGGCTGTCCTTCGATTGGTAACATGTCTACTAGGCTGCACTCCAAACAAGCACTTCTTGAGCTAACTCAGGCTTTCAGATCCCCGGCCCGTGCCGCTCACCTACAAAACTTTGTCTTTTACTCTCCCACAGAGGCGCTGCTCGGACACCGTTGGCTACTAGGGCAAAGAAGGCCTTTTTAACCTAAGACCAATGAGAGAGACAACACGCATTTTTAGTCTATATATATGCAGGGAGAAAAATACCTTCCACTGAAACACTCAACCAAATCTTACCAGTTAAAAATAACTGAATTTATTAACATCAGCAATATGCTTTTGTATTATATTGAAAGGTATATAGGGATTGGAGATTATTTTTTCAAACTGAAACAATGCAATCAGAGAGACTTTATGTAATTAAAACCACACAGAAGAATTAAACTTCAGAGGTTTGTTTTTTTCGGGCCACGCCACACAGCTTGTGGGCTCTTACTTCCCCAACCGGGGACTGAACCCGGGCCCTCGGCAGTGAAAGCGCCGACTCCTAACCACTGGACCTCCAGGGAATTCCCCAAACTTCCGAGTTTGCTCTTTCCTATATGTGGTTATTAGTTCATTCAGAAATACTGAAGTTCTATCAAAGTACTTGAAATGAAAATTTGTTTTTCATATGTTCAATAACAAAACAACAAGCATTCCCCCTTCATTTCCCTGAGGTTGAGAAAGAGAAGGAATGAAAGATGTAATATACTCCTACTTTTATATCTTCTTGAGACAGACATTCACTGTGTGCCTATTATGGGCTGGGCCCTGTTCAGAGTAGTTCACATACAGTGTCTCCCTGAGCCCTCGGGACAAACACCCTCCGGGACACCGTGACAGGCAGCAGAAGTGATGATTTATTAAAAGCCAAAAGCTCAATGCTGAAAATGACCTCTAAATACAGACAGCAAATAACATATGGAAAATGGTTCAATTTTACTGATAAAGAAATGAAAATTAAAGCAAATTTAAAGTACCATTTATAGCTGCTAAATAAGCCAGTATTTTTTCGTTATAGTGCCCGACACAAGTGCAGTTGTCAACCCACTGGTGGCTCCATGAATTGTTAGAATAGTTTTTGAGCCACAGCTTGTATCAAGAATCACAAAAATATTCATACTGTTTGTGTACTAGCTTTTTCTCTGTTGAATTACTTACTCATACAAAAATTTTAGGAGTAGGATTCCTGAATCAGAGATGTTCAATTATGTGGCATTATTTCTAACACTGAAAACTGGAGAAAGATCTGCCTCCAACAAAACTTGTTAAATGTTGGTATACCAGTGAGAAAAAGCATCAAATAGTATAACTGTGAAGATTATGTTGAAGTAAAAAAAAGGTCTATGGCAGTGAAAATGCAGACTATAAAATTATGCATTATAATTATATAAAACATGTATTTACACAGAAAAGATCAAAGAGAAACAAGCAAAAAAATTAAACTTCTATATTATGGAGTTGAGGCAGTGGAAGTGTATCTCTTAAAATTTTTTTTTATTCTGTGGTACAGTTATCTTTTTTTACTAAGAAAGAAAAAGGTTATTTTCTCACCCACTATACTCCGAAACCCCTTGTTAACTTAATAGTGAAAAGAGAGGATTTTAGGAAACTAGAGCTTCAAGTCAGAGTAGAAGTAATAACTCGACACCTGTTTCTGCCTTTACTGTGACTCATTTTGCCTCTATTTAGAATGACTTATGTAGGTGCCTGGTTCACCTGCACAAGGGCAGAAGGACAGCTGGTGGGTGAGGGGGATTCTCATTAGTCATTTTCCACACTTGTCTTAGCCGACTCCAGCACCGTCCTGAGTACGGCAGGGACTCCATCAATCTGTTGAACAAACTGGCAGGAAACTAGGAAGAGGAGGTGAGCAGAGCCAACCCAAGGGCACGAGAGCCAGACAGTAGCTAAATGGCATCCACAAACTGGTAAAATGGTTTCTGAACCACAGCTTGTATCAAGAATCACAAAAATATTCACACTGTTTGTGTAACTAAATGGCATTCGGGGACGGTGTGCCGGTGTGCATGGTCTATTTCTACCTTGATGATGCTCTGGGAATCCTTGACTGTGGACCTAGAAAATATTATAAAAGAATATGGGGGGAAGTCATGGATGAACGGATTCTGAAACACATGAAGTATCTGCTTAGCTTGTTTTTCTAACTCGCTGGAGGAGGCAGGGAGTGGGGGCACTTTTAAAACCACAAACTGCTTACTGTTTCCTCCAAAATAACAGATTTAGCAGAGAAAACCAGTATTAAAATCATTCATCAGGATCATTCACGTAACCCTAAGTGACCACAGCTGTTGAAAAGCCACTCCGGAAAGTTCTGGTTTGGCCATGATGAAGTAGCTGAAAACAACCGCACGAGTTGGACAAAACATACAAATCCCCATTAGAAAGTGCTGGCGGGCAGCACACAGGCAGGATTCAGGGAACTACAATTCTTGAGAGAAAAGAAAGATATGAACTGAGCTACAAAATTCTGGAATTTTTCCAAAGGCATTTTCCAAATCATGTTCAAATAGGCGACTTTCAATAGAAAATCTGCATCTATCAAAAGCATCAGATAAAACCCAGGCAGGAAAAATACAAAGAAAACCACACCTAGCACATCGTAGGTAAGATGCTAAAAATCAAAAGCAAAGAAAAAACCATCCAGAGGGAAGAAGAGACATTAACTTCCAAAGGAGCAGCAATCAGACCGATGGCAACACCAACAGAAGCAGGGCCTAACTTTAACACTCAATGTAATGACTGTTCTTTCAGAAACAGAGAAAATCCTGCTTCCCCATGATAACTTCTCCAACCTGCTACCTACAAGCTCTTAAACAGCCCCTAAATGCTCCAAGTTAGTTACTAAAGGGGTTTCAAGGCCTCTGCACACAAAACACAAGGCAATGCCCGCACAGCACTGACTCTCTCAGGTACCGAAGACGGACAGGCCAGGGACGCAGAGGGTGGGGTGGTGATGTGTGCTGACCTCAGGTCATCCTGAGGATACACTGCTGATGTCACGTGAGGGAAAAACCCAGGGAAGCAGCCGTCCAGCGGCAAAGGGGACATGAAGAGTTCAAGGTGAAAAGTGCCTTCACTTCTGCACAAGAAGGTATCAATAAAACAACCAGACGCTAAGGAAAATACTTGGAGTGAAGCAAAAAAGCCTCCTGGTGGTTTCAGTGGGCGAAGCTGCAGGACCAACTGGACAGACTGACTTTTCGTCAGCTCAGGTCCTTAACCCTCTCTGAGCCTCAACATTCTTAGCTACAAGATGGGGCTAACAGATAGCGCTTTCCTCACCAAGGGCATGTTTTTTTTTTGTTTGTTTTTTTCGTTTCTTGGCCACGCCGCACGGCTCGCAGGATCTCAGTTCCCTGACCAGGGGCTGAACCTGGGCGCTTGGCAGTGGAAGTGCTGAATCCTAACCACTAGGCCACCAGGGAACTCCCGCAAGTGCGTGGACTAACCAGACTTGCTATGAAGAGCTAAAAAGAATAAGAGCTTTAATTTTCCACTCTCTACTGACAGACCAGAAGCAGAGAATGAGTTAGTTTTAATTTCAGCCACACAAACTGTTGACAGGTCCACACGTCATGGAGGGAGTCACAATTCCACCCTCCAGAGACCCGACAGAACTCCCTAAAGTGGACAAGATGTGCTCTCAGTACCTTAGCGGGGGACGTCTCAGCGTCCCCAGATCAGCAGCCCTGCCTGCTGCTGTGCTTTCACTGCAGCCTCTGCAGTGACGAAACCTTCTAAACTTGGCTTTCTTAGCACCACATGCACGGAGTGTTTGAGGGGCAATTTAAAACTACGCCCGGGAAACTCCTCAATTACAGAAGGCACAGGGTGTCACCAACGAACCATCAACAGAGGCTGTGTGGCCTACTTCTAAGGGAAAAACTCTAGGGGCCTTGAGTGCCTCTGAAAATTTCTTTCAACTGATAACGCAATTTGCTCAAACTGTTAACAATTAAAAATTTTATATTTTAATAGGATTTTCTTTTTTCTTTTTTATAAATTTATTTATTTACTTTTGGCTGCACTGGGTCTTTGTTGCTGACCACGGGCTTTCTCTAGTTGCGGCAAGTGGGGGCTACTCTTCGTTGCGGTGCGTGGGCTTTTCACTGCGGTGGCTTCTCTTGTTGCGGAGCATGGGCTCTAGGTGCAAAGGCTTCAGTAGTTGTGGCGCACGGGCTTAGTTGCTCCACGGCATGTGGGACCTTCCCAGACCAGGGCTCGAACCCATGTCCCCTGCATTGGCAGGCGGATTCCTAACCACTGCACCACCAGGGAAGCCCCTTAATAGGATTTTCAAACAACCAAATGTGACAATCAGCTAAGTAAAGAGGAAAATAAAAGTCTAATATAAAAATGATTTTTTTTTTTTTTTGCGGTACGCGGGCCTCTCACTGCTGTGGCCTCTCCCGTTGCGGAGCACAGGCTCCGGACGCGCAGGCTCAGCGGCCATGGCTCACGGGCCCAGCCGCTCCGCAGCATGTGGGATCTTCCCGGACCGGGGCACGAACCCACGTCCCCTGCATCGACAGGCGTACTCTCAACCACTGCGCCACCAGGGAAGCCCTATAAAAATGATTTTTAAAAAGGGTAAGCCGGCCTTAGTTGCGCTAAGAGATTCTGGCAATCTAAATGCCAAGTAGCACATCTGTGTTCCCCCAAAATGGGAATCTGATTCCTCTAATGCTTCCCTGCTTTCCACACACAGTTTTACCCTGATTCTCAATAATTAAGTTAATCGTGGGGCTCTTAAAATTAATGCTGATACATAGCTAAAGCTCTTTAAAACTGTTCACTACAGTTTACTAAGTTTTTACATCAGAGCTCATCAAATGGATTTCACAACACCTGACAGCGTCTCCCCTGAGCGAGGATGGGCCCAGCTTCTCAGGTTTGTCTCCAAGACCCTCTGCGATGCAGCCCCAGCCTGACCCCTACCGTCCAGCAGACTCCTCAGTCCGTGAACTTATCTTCCGTTTTTTTGGCTGTGTCACAATGTTCCTTCTACTTCAAAGGGACTTACCTTCTGCTCCACCTGTTAAAGCCCAGTTTGCCTGTAACTTCTAAGTCCTCAACACAACCTACCCACGTCACGCCCGGCCGAGTCGAATCCCTCCTCTACTCCCGCAGGACCTCATG